GATAAAGAACAAGATAAAATTGTCGAGACCTCGAAGATAAGGAAATGTCAAAGTCATAAATATTAATAATATTTTGTTGTTTTGCTTAAAATCTTTTCTATTTCGGCATATTTTATTCCCAGTATTTATGGCCTGCACGCGCAACTTTTAAAAACCGCGTTTGGTAGCGTATGTGCTATACGGCCGGCAACCCCACGTACATCTATTCATCCCACTTTTTACGCTCTATCCAAGGAACGTTGATCGTTTAAAATATATTTAAAGAACAAATTATAGAATTTTATAGTCAACAACTTTTGTAATCACTTCAAATCTTACTTTTGGCAGGAAACCAGATATTAAAAAAACGAAATTCGTGACTTTTGACCACTGATAACTTGTGATGGGGATACCAGATTATAAGATACATTACCTTTATGTGATGTCTTATTTTGAACATTCATGTATAAGACTAAACGCGTATACTCATAATTGCCAAAATATCTTGCGCCCGACCTTTCGTCTGGGTTTCTCGAGTAGATTGTCGGTGTACAGCATCATCGGATCGGAGGTACTTTTTGCAGCTATCCTTACTTGATCTTCACATTTATAAAAGCTACTATACACGACATTAATATTGTCCACGGGCGCGTTAGACGGACAACCGCGACACCTAGATTTTACTATCACCGGATTCTCTATTTCATTTGTAAAACATATTTTACTGTAAATGGAGTTCTGTTAGTCGAGTTACTGTTCCACTTCCCTCTTGTTTCCTTTGATTAAGCGGAACACGCCGTCAACATACCAGTACCTCTTCCATAGTCGGATATTGAAAGGCCCTTGCGATAACTATTCATTTATTATTGATTAATATTTCCCGTAATATACTTAATTCTACATAATACGTATAACTAATAGAAATAACAATGAACCAAGTTTACAATAGAATCATTTTTCAATGTCCTGTTACATGAATCATAACTCTATATAGACTACAATAGTTAAGATTCTAATTACAATCCAATGTCTTTCTTTCATGAGTTACAAGTTTTGGATATCCTAATATGAACCAGACTGGATCCGCTCAGAGATGTTGTAAAATACAAGTGGCTAACCCAACCATGGCTAAGATAACATAGATTATGTGATAAGAATCTCCAAGAACACGAATGCTGATCATATCAAAGAACATATGTCAGATATGGGTAAAAGCTGTATTGATGTACAACACTTAAGTGAAAAGTGCGAAACTAGCTTCAACTTTTTCAAGATACATTTTTGTCAAATGATTTCTGGCCGAGCGGCATAAAATATAGACTACTAGCATTGACCGCTGCTTCGCCCGCGTTCAGATAACCAAAAACCTAATTCTTAGGTTTTACATATTAGTATACTCTTATATTGCAGTTTTTGTATTTTTTTTCTCAGAAATGAGATATATTTCCTCGGTAAAAAGTACCCTATATGTTGACCCGGATAACCAGCTATCACCATACCCAATTTTATCAAAATCCCTCCAGTGGTTTTCACGTGATGCGGTAACAGACAGACAGACAAAAATTCTAAAAACTATAGATTCGGCCTCTGTATCGAAATTATGTCTATTTCAATAAGATTTTCCATAAAATATTTAATGTACAGGTTCGGCTTAGTTACAATTTTAATATATGTATATATAGATTTCGAGAACGACATTCATTGAATTTAGTGAAACGATTAGATACTGACTGGAAATGAATAGGTATCATAATAATTATTGATTTATATTAGTCTTAATTTGAAATGTAATTTTTACTTTTTCTCTTCCATATTATATTATGGGTTCTGAAAATTGCCTGCAATAAATGATTATAATAATTATTATTATATTTCATTAGAATTAACCTACACGTTACTTATACTATCTATACATAATATAATAAAATTCTAACTGAGCCGAATACATTAAATATTTTTTGGAAAATCTTATTGAAATACTTAGACATTATTATCGATACAGAGGCGGAATCTATAGATTTTAGAACTTTTGTCTGTCTGTTAGCGCATCACGGAAAAACCACTGGAGGGATTTTAATGAAATTTGATATGATGATAGGTGGTTACTCGGGTCAACATATAGGACACTTTTTACTGCGGGAAAATATCTCATCTCTGAGAAATCGATACTAAACGTTAAAACGTAAGTAGGGACGTACCCAAGCGAAGCGAGGGTGAGATATCTAGTTTTCTATAGGTATATATATTATAAAATAAGATTTAAAAACTAATTCAATCTGAAATGCGGTGTAGCAATATACTTTGCCATGGCATTAATTATATTAATTTAAATTACCATGGTATTAATTAGAATTTAAGTTAATTTTACACGTTATTACTTTTATTTCACATAACCTGCATTAAATTTCCAATTCTCAATAATGTTATAAAATTTTCAATAATATTACAAAATTGGAGTGACTAATATTTATTATAACAAATATTTGTCACAATAACAGTATTTATTATAATAAATATTTGTCACTCTCATATTTTGTAAAACTTTTCATTATTTAATTTACTTCAATGTTTACTACTAAAAGTTCAATGTCAATAAACAAGTTTCTACAAAAACGATAAAAACCTCTATAATATCAGTATAGATAAAACTATATTCCTACATGTTAATCAGTTACCTTGCAGTTATACTGTTTACTTTTAGAATATAGAAATTGCATCGTTTGGATGCGGTCAAAATTTTGCCTATGTAAGCTTCGATTAACGCTCAAGTCTACAATAAGCTCATTTATGCCCGATTTCACCAACGTCACCTAAGTTTAAGGGATCCCCTAAGAATGGTTAGGGGGTTGTTAGGGGACAGTTTCTGTTTCATCGACAGTTAGGGGTCACCTAAATATTAAAAGGCCCCCTAAATTTAGGTGCTCGAAATAAGGGCTTAAAGACGATCGTAAGACGAAATTTAATTTAGGAGCTAGTTTAGGGGACTTTTAAGCTAGAGATCCCATACGTAGGTGGTAGCTTATGGGTTGGTGGTGAAATCGGACATTAGTGTTACAGATCCGAAAATCTCTTCCCTAAAAGGTTTAACAGGGCTCTCACCATCTCTACCACAGGTCTAGGTACTAGTCCATCATACATTCACAAAGCAAGACACACGCAGCAAGGATAACTCGTACGTATTATATCATATATGTCTCCGACTGCATAATACTCTATTCCTTCGTTAACTTGTTCCAATCTTTATAGTTCATTTATTACGCAGTCGGGTTTTTAATCGTATTATACTTAATTACACTTAATTGTGTTTTACAATGTTAAATAATTTAGTACGTTTTGTATAGTTAGGTATAACTACATAAAAAATGGTTATTTATTGTGAATTATAATTCCATCCACAGATTTCTGTAGAATTACATTTTTTTAATTACTATCAACATTGTTGTACGAGCAAAGACTAACTTATGGATATTCTGTGAAATATACAATTAAGAATGTTCCAATAATAAGATTTAATAACAAAATGGCAAATACAATGTCACTTTAATAGATTATTTATTAAGCATAAGCTATGATTTTAAAGTATAAAAACTAATATTAACACTTAAATATACAATGTAGGTATTTACGACACAAACACTTGTCAGTTGGCACAATAACACGCAATATACTTCACATTATAATATACTTACATATTATTATATCAATATTAGGTGGTCTCAAACTACTAGACGTGCATGGATATTTGTATTCAGCCCTTTTTAACGTCGCTTTGCTGGTAAGTGGCCTCTCCTCAATGCGAGGGGATCATGCCATAGTCCATCACGTTTGGTTGACGCAGTTGGCGAAATTCACATGTCTTTCGAAAACTTGCTATGTTCTCTCATACATACAGGTTTCCTCGCGATTTTTACTTTCACCGTAAGAACATCTATTCACATATACTTAATGTAACTGAACAAGATCGGCTCTAGCATTATTCTTTCGACTCTTTGGGGGTAAAATAAACTAAGTTTTTTGTCACTGATAATAAGTAAAACTTCCTTAGTTCCTATCTATATATATATAAATCGTTTGCCGTTCGTTAGTATTGCTAAAACTCAAAAACGGCTGGACCTATTTGAATAATTCTTTTTTTTCTTTTGTTAGGGTTTCTCAGGTCAGGGGTGGTTTAAGTATAATAAAAATAGGTAAGACCCAAAAAAACTGCTGGAAAATCGAAAAGTTCAGAACTATTTATTTTGTACCTATGAATATATGTATGTATGTATAATATATAGTCTGTCTATTCCACATTAATCGTTAAAACGTATTCTAATTAGCGAAGTTTATAAGAAGAAAAAAGAGCGAAGCTATGGTGAGTCGCTTGTCGCAACTACAAATAAAAATAATAAAAGCCATTAGTTTTGACCCTAATTTCTAGTAATTCCATCTCCTACGGTAAGTAATAAAATAGGATTTTGGCAAATGAAAATACTTATCTATACTTAATATTATAAAGAGGTAAAGTTTATGAGTTTGTGAATTGTGAGTTTGTGACGTTGTAGGGGGTAATCTCTGGATCTACTGAACCGATTTAAATGAAATTTGGGAAGAAGATAGTCTGAGACCCTGGGAAGGACATAGAATACTTTTTATCCCGGAAATCATCCCTTAAGGGGGGGTGAAAATGGGGATTAAAGTTTGCATAGGGAATCAACCTAGGGACGAACCCGAGCGAAGCGAGGTTGAGTCGCTAGTTATTTAATATGTAATAGAAAAATATAATGTTACCTTAATTTATATATTACCTGTGACCTTGTCCTTCATCACAATAATAGGTAATTTAATGTCACGTAATGTGATGTACTGATTGTATATGGGTTGTTTCAGGCAGGTTGATTATAGTGTATTTGTTAGCTTCCTTTATCTAATCATCTTAGAGTATGTGAAATTTTGTTCATCACGCTGCAATACATTATTACAGACAGCTAATTTTTATAATGACCAGGGTAACCACAAAGAAATTAATTTAAGCAAGCAATATGGTCACCATGGTAAACCACTTCGAATTGAGGAATTAGGGATCGAACCTGTGCCCAGTAGTGGAAAGTTAAAAAAAGGTGAATAATTCAAAAACTTCTAGGAAAGGAATAATTTTAAAACTTAACTCCATAGGGGTTTACATGTTCGCCCTTTTTTGAATTCCTATTTTAAAATTTATAATATTAAAATCAATAGAATTTTAAAGAAGGGCAGCAGCGTAATGTTATTTGACTTGTATTATATTATATTTTTTTACATATTTCTTTGTCATAATAATTTAACTTTTGTTAGCATTGTTAACCGAGCAACAATATTTCATTTGTAAATGAAATTGTGGTACTCACGATACAGGCTTTGCCTAGTGTGAGTTACCGTCAGATATAAAATATATTGTAAGCTATACTTTTTGGACAATAAAAATTATTATTAAAAAGTAGCCAATGTCACTTTCCAGCTCTCAACTATCTGCACACCAAAAATCACGCAAATCTGTCACTCTGTTTCGACGTGAAAGAAAGACAAACAAACACACAAACAAACAAACAAACAAACAAACACACTTTCACATTTATAATATTAAGTATGGTAGTATGGATGTAAACATACATAGTACTACATATATATTATAATCAATGTCATTGATATTAATTGAACAATCGATTATTGATATTCATTGTAGCTACGAGTAATAATATATAAAGTATAAAGATTTTAGCTTCTTGTTTTGTATTTATTTTCATTCGATTGACGTAAAAAAAACAATAATAGATTTGAAAAACTGTCAAAAATACACAAATATGAGTGTTTGTGAGGAAATAAGAAATTTAAAATTGTAACCTTTTACAACGATTAATGTTTTTCGCCACAAAAATAAAACCTACGTATGTCATTCAATCTATATTATTTGTCGCTCGTTGCTCAGCTGCCTCGGTGATCTAGTGGCTAGCATATGCGGCTGCAAATCTGGAGGTCCTGAGTTTGACTCTCAAGTCAAGCAAAGTTTAGTTATTGGATCATTCTGTAAATAAATTCTTAGTAACAGCCCAGAGTTAGGAAGTCCCACGCCTGACTTTTCACCCGTCATGTCGAATTGTCCCATTTAAGTTTCGTACTCAGTTACATAGTGACAGGAATAACGAGCCTACTTGTGTTTGTGCATACACTTGAACCCTACTATATCCCCTGCGAACTTGCCTAGTCTGACTGAGATTGACCGCTGTGGCCGAAATCGGTCAGGAGGACATCATCATCATGACTAAATACAGTGGCAGTTACGTAGCACTATTTTGTTTTAAAAATAGACAATGTCCATTTTACGCGACAATTGGTAAAATTAGAATCTACGCTGAACCAGCACGTTTTGAAGTCATTAATAATAAAATTGAATACAATTGAAAAATACAAAATTTCTTTATTTTAGGTAAATGTAACGACAACCATGTCACCAGGCGCTCCTATCGCCGAGGAAGAGCGCACAGAGTTGCTTGGTTCCTTGACGACGCAGCAACAACAACGCACAAGTGCGAGGGTCATTAAAAAGTTGAAGCTCGAACCACAGACTGACAAAAGGGGTAAGATTATCAAAAATTTTCTATAGAATGAGAGAAATAAGGTAGCTGGCCCAGTGTTGTTACGAGTATATAAAATGTGTCCAAACAAAGTACTCAGACTGTAGCGTTATTTCCACGAACTTAAGTTAAACTTAACTTAAACTTAAAGAGGGAAACACCAGATATTGTGACCTGTGATATAGTAAGCAGATAGTCTGTATTAATTCATTTTTTTATTTTCATTCTATCCTAGATGCAACAGAATGCGAAACGCCAAACAAAATCGACGACAAAGATCCGCTGAAGTTTCCAACTGTGAAACAACGAATGCCCAAAGCCCTGTGGTCCGCCGACGAGAAGAGCTTATTTTTCGAAGCTCTTAACGAATATGGCAAAGACTTTGACGCAATAACAGCTTACATATGCGCTAAGATGAAGAAGAAAGGCATGTCAGATGGAAACCTGAAAACTAAGACTCAAGTTAGCCATTTCTATTACAGGACTTGGCACAAACTCTCCAAACATGTTCATTTTGATGAAAGTAAGTTAGAAATAATTGTTTACACTATCTTATTCCTTCTGTTTAGGCTGTGATAATCTAACTTTGCGTATAACTTACATGTATATTGTATAACTTAAATGCGCCTGTGTAAAAGTCGATGCGCACAACACATTTAAGGTAAATAACAGAATCAATAATATAAAAATGTAATGCATTAGAATTTTGAACTCTATCGTAGATACCTGCGCTATTTTAAGAAGCCATTGAGACATTCATCTACACAAGTCATAGTAGACATTACTACTCACTTTCAATGAAGTGTTGGAAATTAAATGTCAGGCAGCTGACGATGGGGGTCAGATCATAATTCACCATGCTGGCCAAGAACTTCTTTCGAAAACTTGCTAGCTTCGATCAGACACGTTGCCTGAGTAATAGTAGTAATAGTAGTAGTAGCGTGGTAACTAGGTCAGGTAAATAAGAAAACTAATTCGCACATGAGAATATCAGGGGTATAGAGACCTGGGATTTGAACCTGCTTCACATGTTTTTACCTAGCAAGCTTGTTACCACTGGGTTGAATTAGTACGTATATATTATTAAATTCTGAAAACTTCTACATATTCCAGATGTTAAAAAAGTAGCTCAAGAGTTATACGCTTTAATCAACTACGGAGAACTTCGTCGGAAGCTGGCTTCAGTGAATGAGAAGACATGCGCTCGGCTGGGAGAGATGGTGAGGGGTGGCAGCATGGCGGTTAGGGCGAGAGGGAAGACCCTGAGAGTAAGAACCCCCATGTGCAGAGCTTTGAGGAGATTAAATCAGATTGCTGGTAAGGTTATATCTAATAAATGATAATGCGAAATTTTAATTACATCATGGGGTCTCACATAAGGAACAAAGAAATATTAGTTCTAATAAATGTCAATAGATGGCATTATATGTAGCGATTTGTTATTGAAATTTCTGTAAAATTGATAAAAGACGATTAATAGAATAATAAAATAATATAATAAGCTATATTATGGTTTTAAAACTTTTTTCTAGTTTCGAAAACGTAATTATGCGCTCGTAAATGAAATTACGCAATTTAACTGATAATTATTTTAAAACCAGTGGTCAGGTGTCAATCAACAGTGGGTTTGTAGAGCACTCTGCTCAAAAATTGTACAATAAACTTCCTTTGTTCTTTAAAGAAATCGAGAATAGTAACATAAACGACAAATCACACTACAATTTTTGACTTTGACATTTATTTTAGCGGATTCCGTCTAGAGATATTATAGAGTACAAGTGTAAGCGTAGCCACAAGTGCACTCTAGTCCTGTCACTCTCATACTCCGGTGAGACGATTACTCGACACGACCGGTGAGAGTGTCGGTGCAGGACCGACAGCTTTACGTGCTCTCTGAGGCACGGGGGTGAAACACTGCCAACCTCCCAACTCCGGGTTGTTACTGAAAAATTCTTGACATAAATACTCAATAACTGAGCTTGGGCCGACCCGGGACTCGAACCCAGAACCTCCGGATATGCAGCCATACATGCTAGCAACTACACCACCGAGGCAGTTTAAAATATACACGTGCTAAATATCTGAAGTATAAAAATATAAATCGTTAAATGCATAAATTAAAACGTTTTCCTTTTTAACAATGGACTTTATTAATCACATATTATTACTCATAATTATTATGTTCTGTATAGTATTACATTAATACGTTTTTTTCTTATATAAAATAAAAATAGCTCTTTACTATACTATAATATCATTCCTCTTGTCTAACACGTAGACTCGAAACAAAATAACACATATATACATATGTTTGTAATGTATAAACAGAACATCAATATTTATTTTATAATATTAAATGAGCAGTTCTTGTATCTTTATTGTATACTAGCAATGCCCGCGGCTCCGCCCGCGTTCAGATGACCAGAAAGCAAATTCTTAGGTTTTACATATTAGTATACTCTGACATTGCAGTTTTTGTATTTTTTTTCAGAAATGAGACTTTCCCGCGGTAAAAAGTATCCTATATGTTGACTCGGAAAACCGGCTATCACCATACCAAATTTCATCATAATCCCTCCAGTGGTTTTTCTGTAATGCGGTAACAGAGAGACAAAAATTCTAAAAACTTAGATTCGGCCTCTGTATCGATAATAATGTCTATTTCAATAAGATTTTCTAAAAAATATTTAATGTACAAATTTGGCTTAGTTACAATTTTATTATATGTATAGATAAATTAATTACATGTATTTCGGAAATAGCTCCAACGATTTGTATAAAATTTTGTATTTTGATAAGGTTTCGCTTTTTGAGATTATCTCTATCTACATGTTCTTTCTAAAAAAAAACTAAAACCACGCGCAAATCTGGGATCGCCCAGGTACTATAGATTTTAATATATTTGATCAAGTGTAATTTTCCCTTTTTAAGTTAAAGCTATTGCTTGCGTTTAAGAAACTGATTCCAAAGGGGTTTCATTTGTAATCAGTTACTGAGAATAGATGGCGCTGTAAGCAATGAAGCAGCGCTAAATATTAGACAATTATAAATTATTATATAAGTTCCACTATCAATTATTTAACTTTAAAATCAGATATATAAATATAATGTTTTCATCCGCATTTCACATACAAAGTCAAATAAATCTGCGAGAAAAGATGCGACGAAAATAAAAACACTACTATTAGAAGTAGGTAAGATCACTTTATAGATTAGATCACATAGTTAATTAGTTCACAAATTATGTTAGTTACAATTAAAACTAATAAGCGTATAAAAAAGTAATTACGACAAATGTCCGGTGTAAGGAACATGGCTATATGATCAGCCAAGTTCGGAACGAGAAGGAATCGAGGAATCGAGAATCGTATATCGTATTACTTGAACTATATCCCTGTAATACCTTTGTTACACACACACCCTCATGCACATACACACACACACACATACGTATATAGTGTATACGTATGCACGCATGTACCCACGCACGAACACCAAAACAAACATTTAATAAAACAGTAACTTATTAGTAACGTAAACATATAATAATATACATAAAACATATAATATAGTGTTCAAAGTATATACCCCAAAACAATAGTTATTAAAATGTTTGTCTGTTGGTCTGTATGTCTGTTTGTATGTTTGTGTGTGCGCGTTTCGCGCAAAAAGTACCTGACTGATTTTAACAAAATTTTGTGTTATAACCTATTACTCGAGTCAACATTTAGGATACCTTTTAGCACAGAAAAATCTTTCATTCACGCGGGAAAACTCAATAAGTGGTTCTATAGAGTCATCCATTGAAATTTACATGTCTAACGCTGGCTAAACCTTAAGACATACATAAAAACAATGTACTAGAAAATTGTAGGTCAAAAGGTCGTTAAAGGCCTACAGAAAAGTCTGCGATAAAATTTATCTATCTCCTAAGGTACACTGGCAATACCTATTTACATTTATTTAAAACGTACTTAAAGCCGCATTCGAGCGAAGCGAGGTTTAGTCATAAATATTTTAGTAAACCGAACTTGACCAATTTTTACATTTATCGTTTGTTGTCATATGCTCTACAATGTAAGTAATAAATTGGTTGAATTTAATGACTTCTATCTATAGTTAATAGCCCATTGTCTGTAGAATTTTTCGTAGAAGTGTATTAAGCGTCCTTAAGATAAAACAATTTCAAAGTAATTTGCAAGTGTTAGAAAGAAAGCAATTATTATTTTTAACTCTATTATCAATAATTATCTATATCTAAATAATAAACGTCGGCTATATCTAAAAAGAAAATTTTCTTTTTCAGAACATTGATATTTTCCTAATTAGACTGTGTTAAAGTCGATGTGCATAAAAAAGTTGCCTTACTTATTTATTTACCAACTTTTTATTTCGCAACTTCAATTAAATTTTAAAGTGTTTTTGACAACTAAATAAAAAATGTCAAAATATACAAAAACAACACACCAGTCAATGTGTTAAAAACCAAGCCAAGATGTATAAAATAGCTTTGATATTCAGTACCCACACAGTATCTACCTACAAAATTATTCATATGTTTTTTCCAAATTAATATAACTTAACTAAATTAACCAAAATATAAAATAAAATCGCATCAAAATATTTTAATTTTGATAGTTTTACTTGAAAGAATTGTGTTTCGCCAATGATGTAGAGCGTGCGTGCGGCGCTAGAGTGTGCTCGCGCGCGCAAGTGCTGCTGCGTGCGCGAGACGCAGGTGCGTGGGCGCGCGTGCAGGCGGCCGCACACAACCCACGAATGGCCGCAGCTCTACCTCTACGAACGAGACTCGTTTCCTTTTTGAAAGCTTTGGAAAAGAGATGGAAATCTGTATCCTTTTTACTATAAACACTAATGACTTACTCTTGCTTTGCTCGCTTCCATAGGGGCCTAGTAGTTTCTGTGCTCTCCAGGTTATAGTTTTTCTGTGAATTAAATTACTTTCAAATCCTTCCAGCGGTTTCAGCGTATAAAACTATCGCATTTATGATAGTAATCCGATTATTACATTCATAACCCCATATCTAGTAAGATTTTGCCATACTTAACTAAACAGCCTTGACTTCACCCATATACTACACATGCATAATTTTAAATACATACATATTATATATATAATACGTATGTATTTAAAATTATATATGTGTAGTGTATCAACTATCTGGTATCCATAACACAAGCCTCGTAGCTTACTATGGAACTAGATGGTGCTGTGTGTTAATGTCCCAACATATTTATTTATTATTTATTATATACAAAAACAAAAGTTTATGCATTATGTTCGTATATATTAAATTGTGTATATTATTAACATAAAGACTCTCTTATATGCTTTTACTTGTATACCTATTTATTTATTACATTGTATAGAAGTATTGATAGAATTCCTATTCATTATCATGATATAGTCAAATTACAAGAACCCTATATCAGAAAACGGCATTGAAACAAAAGTTAATGAAGACCAAAGCAAAGATTGTGAGGAATATCAAGAGATACAGAGGGGAGAATGCGAGGAAGGTCTCGAAGAGCATCTGAACTTGCAAACTGATAGAGTCATAGTACAAGGTGAGTAATAGCTGTTATTAGAAAATAATTGTTTTGAACTCTTTCAAAAAAAATCCTTATTTTAATAACAGGGTACATGTGACATTTTATTTAAGTTGTTTTATTTCAAACCGAAATTACTACTTGGTGTTCCAAGGTCATCGGCACTCGCGCCTTTGTTATTTAAATGTACGAAAAAAAAGTGTGAAGAAACCTTATGTCTAAGTGAACCTGACAAGTTGTCAAAAGACATGAACACTATACAGTCCGCAAATCCACCAATATAATGGCTACTTACGTATTAATAGAAATAATAATATATAATATAATCAAAAATAACTATATTTCCATCTTTCAGAACAGCGTCTAACTAAAAAACTGTTCTTACATCTTGGGCCCAGACCTGGCGTGGAAGTACACTTGCCTGTATTGAGTCCAAGCGAGCAACTTTCCAGTCAAAAAATCTGTTTTTCATCCTATTTAGAAAGAATGGGCTCGTTAAGACGAGATAAAGAAAATGGAGGTATATATATATGGTTTAATAAAACTTTTGAACGTTTTTTTACATTCACGTTGAGTAAAATATAATAAAATAATGACATTTTAGATAACCTCGTAAAAAAAGAAGAAACGGTACTTAATATTATTATATTTAAATATTAAGCCTCTCAGCGAGACTCGAACCCGCGACACCTGGCACAGTAAGTAGGGTAACCCAGCCGAAGGACAAAATTGAAATTTCATATAATTAAATACGACATTTTTCGGATTGGACATTTGCTAATAAAAAAACGTGAGATCCTTAAAATATTTTTTTTTATATTAAACATAAAATTGCTAAACCGTAAATCTAGATGACTTATATGCGACCTTTATTATAAAATGCGAGTCATCTGATAATAATATTTTTACGATATACCAGTTATTTTACTACGGTTACTAACTACAGGTTAATAAGTACGAGTATACGAGTAAATATAATACATTAAATCATAGGGCTAAGTATTAGTTACTTAGTTCTTTGATTTAAAGTACATTAATTTCAAAAGCAAAACTACGTTTAAATGGTTTTGGTAGCATTATACATAACACAGGTCTATAAATAAAAAACTGCAGGATTTTCATACGTTTGTCTTATAGGTTTTATCTCGGTAAAAACGAAAAAACCCCCTCGCGTACTTTTTTTTATTATTTTGCTACACTCAAGTTTTAGTTTAGAGTTACCTAAGTAATTTAAGATTTCGTTTCCTTTCAAAACGTGACCTTAAAATTAAGACTGCTCATATTGATTCTATAATTTATAGCCAAACTTAAAAGGTTCCATGCAGCTGAAAAAAAAAACTTTTTTTTGCAGAACTGTGTAAGTAAATGAATACTGAAACATAATACAAATCACACAATTTAGTTCTCTACAACTCGTATTTTGTTCTTAGATTAAATATTATGCTCATTATTAAGTTGTACATATTTTATTTATATACAGTAAAAATTCGCACACCGAAACGTCAAAGAAAAGACAGTATTTCTGACAAAGATAAAGAACCAGAAAAGAAGTTTAAAATAGACGATTCAGAAACAAACAAACTCATGCACATAGACGAAACAGCAATAGATGGGATCGAACTTATGGCTCACTATAAACACAATCAAGAGGACGAAGAGAAACCAAGTACAGAAGATGAGAAAGAAGTCAAATCTGAGGAAACTGCTGAGGAGGAGGTCGACCGAGATGTGCCGGAAAGGGACAAGGATATGTCAGAGAAGGAAAAAGATAGTTTTTCCGAAATGGAAGACGATGAAAAGTATAATAAAAGTGACACTGATAATGAAAGTGATGGCAGACCTGATAAGAGCCAAAAGACTCAAACATTTAAACAATTAAAGGTATACAATACTACTAGCTTATAATTACAACTAGTCGTCTCTTAGTTTTTTGACTAACTTAAATATTGATTTGAGTTGATTCGAACAAAAGTTCTATTTATATTAAAACTGACAGTAATAAACAGTTCTCTTTACCAAAATAATGACAATTCTCTTATTCAGCTAAAACTTGTCAATCTTTTTTCTGTGTGGTGAAGTTTTAAAGTTTCATATTTTCCATTGTTCAATATTCAATATTTCTAAATACATAAAGTTAACAACTCAGTATTTTATAACATATGTTATTTTACAGGTAAAATTCCGATTACGGCCAAAGCAACGTGGCGGAAGCGTCTACACTTTGATTCTTGACAATAACATTGAAGAAACAAAAATTGAGGAATCAAAGGTTGAAGAGTCTAAAAATGAAGGGTCAAAAGTTGAGGAATCTAAAGTCGAGGAGTCAAAAGTGGAAGAAAAAGAAGAAGAAGCCAAGCCAGACATAGACGTAGATATGGCGACCAGGCAGATAAGGAAAGGATGGAGCGTGTACGATGCGGGAGAACTTACTATTGGAGATTTATATTTAATGGTAATTTCTGGTCTATGTTTTTATTCTTTAGTTAGTTAGTTTTGATCTTTTAATACTTGTTGTAAAGTGTATATGTATTTTTTTAAATAAAATAATTTTAGTTTTCTTTTTTAATATATTTTATTCACAAAGCTAACTTTTGATAGGCCTTTTAATATTAATGTTACAGTTCGGATCACGTTCGAAACTTGAGTTGGATTATTGGTGGGCTGAGCCCACTCCGCCTTTGCCACAACCTTTCAAATACCATAAAACAGATGTAAGCAAAAGTATAGACAATAGGGAAAAGGGCAACAAGACACCGGATAAAGGCGATAGCTCAGTGGAAGATGAGAGAGAGAAGAGGGAGAGTGACAATGATATATTTTCACCCAAAAATACCTTCAGTCAAGATAGCAATGATGGGATGTCCGGAGATGAAAGAAAAAGTATTTTTTAATTTTCCTCTTGATTTTATTGATTTTTTCCAAAAAATATGGCAAAATACTTTATTAGATTTACGCGAATATTTGACATTTTAAACAAAATGTATCTTTCGGATTTTTTTGTTGATTTATTTGGATTTTTGGTTCCGGTCACGGGAGAGACTATGTCTCGTTGATTCCTCCCGCGGCTATGATTGCTGTAAAGCAACGAAACGTGGATCACTAAAAATCATAGTAAATCCGCAAAAAAATGTCAAAGTTCGAATCAAATTACGTTCAAATGGAACTTTATTCGCGCATCGTGGTGTATAAATATAATTAATACAAAATCCTAAAAGGTCTAATACAAAATAATATCATAGTTACTAATACATACAGTCAGCGTCTAGTCAGGGGAAGGGACTGAAGCACCCGATTAACTGTTGTACTAACTTTTATATGAAATTTGGGAAACTCCTTGACGGGTTGACGGGTCGGTAGGGACGAGATGGCAATTGGCACTAAACGCTTTAACTTTAGAAGCGCTCGCTATGAAAATTGGTGTTTTCTTTGATAACACTTACATTTAATAGCATTTCCGTTAAATTCAATGACCAAACGCTTACTTTATTTATATGTACAGGTGAGCAGCTGTCATCCCCAGACCACAAGTCAGGCAGTCTGAAGCTAGTGAGCAAGTTGATCAACCGGCCCGCGCCGCCCGCCGCCGCCCCGCCCGCCGGCGACGCGGTGCTTACTGACAGGTTAGCACACATACGAACATACACACTTACTCATACACACATACAGGTATATCTACGTTCACGTAAACGCACACATACATATACACATACAAGCGCACGCGCACACAAACATATAACATTTGTTGCATTCGGTCTACTAATAGTGATTTAGAAATATATTGGGAAAAAGTGCTTAATTATTATTATTTTTTAACCAAAAGGCAGTGTTAGTAGTGTTTTAATAGTGATTTTTTTTTTCTTTTTAAACCGTCAAAACATATTGTATATATATTGTTGTGTGTATGTGTGTAAGCCTCCCAAATGCCTATATATTGTACGATCTGCTATTATTTACACCTCCAGGTAAATTTCTAAGAAATTAATTGAATTTCTAAGAAATCTATTGTTAACTGTAACGCCGGCGTGTCCGCGGTCGTGGAAAAATGATCGCTTAAGGGGTTGAAAATGGGGATGAAAGTTTGTATGGGGAATCATCAACCTAGGAACGAACCCGATCGAAGCGAGGGTGAGTCGCTAGGTGTCATTTCCTAAACCTTAAGGTTGCCTGGAAGAGATCGCTCTTTTAGGGATAAGGCCGCCTCTTGTACATTTTCTAACCTTTTTGTATCTTATTTTCTATCTTATTTACTGGGTGTACAATAAAGAATATTATTATTATTACAACATGTCCTCTGTCCGTGGGCGTGGCAGACTGAAGCGGCTGCTGGCGCTGGCGGGCAACGCGCACGTGCCGCGCGCCGCCGCGCCCACGCCCGCGCGCTGCGCCTGCGGCCACGTGTGCGCGCACAAGAAGCAGGTGGTGCGTACATACATACGTTGTACACCGTCCACTTACTGTTTATTTGTCTAAACGACCAATTTCATAATAACGCCATTTTTTTCAATATAATATGTATATTACACTAGCGACTCAACGTTTTGACGGCTAGTATGAGATATATATCTTTGAATATTCTTTTATATCTTTATATATCTTTAAACTTTCTGTACTATAATATGCATGTATACCTATAAACCTTGCTTTTGAATCACTCTACCTATTAAAAAAAACCGCATCAAAATCCTTTGCGTAGTTTTAAACATCTAAGCTCACATAGGGACAGACAGATTAAATTAATACATACTTGACCATTAAAATATAATATAATATAAAATGTAGATTGTATTTACTACATACATAAAGTACATTTGTTTAGAAAGCGTTTTTAGTATATGTACATACATATTATATTATATTTATTTTTGAAAAAATGTTGCAATAATTTATAGATCAAATATTATTTTCAACAATTTTAATTGTTTTTTTTTATTATTATTATTATATATTATTATATTTTATATATATTATTATGGACTTAGTGAACCATGGTCTTCGGCGTTTTCACTATTCAACTCTTAGAGTTATGGGTATTAATGTTGAGAAATATATCAGACACATAAGACAGGGTGCTAATTGAAAGATACAATAATATACTTATACTATGCATATGCATTGCCCGCGGCTCCGCCTGCGTTCAGATAACCAAAAATCAAATTCTTAGGTTTTACATATTAGTATACTCTTGCTACATTGCAGTTTTTGTATTTTTTCTCAAAAATGAGATAATTTTACGCGATAAAAAGTATCCTATATGTTGACCCGGATAACCAGTTATCACCATGCCAAATTTCATCAAAATCCCTCCAGTGGTTTTTCAGTGATGCGGTAACAGACAGGCAGACAAAAATTCTTAAAACTATAGATTCGGCCTCTGTATCGATAATAATGTTTATTTCAATAAGATTTTCCAAAAAATATCTAATGTACAGATTCGGCTTAGTTACAATTTTATTATATGTATAGATAGATTTACTGAAACTGCTGGTGGTTTTCTTTTGCTAACTTACACACTTATCAACTTATAGAAGCAACAGCCGTGCATCCCGACGCCGGTGACTCTGTCCTCGAAGCTGCCGGAGAGTCCCTCGACTGTCTTCAGGCACCCCACGCCCATCGCGCCGAGGCCTGACGCTGAGGTAATATGGTATTAAATATTCGTCAATTTTGTCTAAATACGTTTTAATATGGTTCTTAAACTACTTGCAATTTGCTAGTTTAGATATTTCTAAAGTTCTATAGATTTAATGAAAATAGATCTTTTATGTAAAGTGTACAAACAATGTAAAAAATTAATATTTTGAGGGAGTTATGTTATCGGGTCGCGGTAGGTACTGGTCTACCTAGACTAGTACACCGTGGTATGACTAAGCTGACTATAAGCTTTGTCAACAGACGCGGTCCTACCGACTGCGTCAGTTACTTTACCGCGACTTGGTTGTATTAAAACAACGTTTTACGTCGAAAGGACAAGTACAACTCCATTGCTTTACATGAACATAATTTATAATAATAGACCATTTTAAGAAAGATCTAAAAAGGACGATACATTCAAAAGTATAACATCCTTCCGAGAAGGATATCTAAATAGCCCACGTGTTGAGTTACATAACTAGGGTTATGATAAAAAACTTTTGTCAAATGTATTAAATGATATTATATCAAACTAAAGGACTTCATAATTAAAAAAATCTTTATTTAATTATAGTTATAATGTATCCACAAAATAAAAAAAACAAGCACATTCTATTGGTGTTTTACTTTTTTTTATTTTACTTATTCAATTAATCATACCTATTCGTCTTAAGCCCAAAAACAAGAAATGAATTGATTGTTTCACCCTATTCGTGTGTGGCAGGGGCCGCGCCCCATGTGCCTGGAGGGGCTGCCGCGCTGGCGCCGCGGCCGCCCGCGCGCCGCCGACCGCCGCGTGGTGCAGCGCCTGCTGCCGCTGCTGCCCAAGCTGCCGCCGCCCAGCAGTGCGTGCACACCCCCCACACTACACCCTACACTACAACACATCTTACAATACGCATACAGTCTACAATATAACTGCAAAAAATAGTTTTTTTATTTTATAGATTATTTATTAATAAAGTAAAAGAGCATTTCATATAAATAAACTACGCAAGCGGAGTCGAAAGTAACGCATCGTATATTATTTTGTACTTATTTTTTAACTGCTGTGTTTGTCTCTAGCACGTACGACTGCATATCGAGAGATCCTGGATGCGACACCCGGTCGAGATTAAATAGTTACAGAGCTTTTCGTCACGAATTTATTGTCCCGTGCTTCGGGATCACGTTAAATGAATATAGAGTTAAAGGAAAAGACAATGCACTTTGTATCTCACACAAACACTACACTGTTGTGTAGTCTCATTGAGATTGACCGCCGTGACCGAAATCGATCAGCACATTATCATTCTTTTTTTTATTTATTCAGTTATTTTAAATAAATAAATTCCCCAGATCTGATCCCGGTGAAGATCCCCCGGCAGCCGGCGCCGCCGCCGCTGCCGCGCCTGCTGCCCAAGCCGCCGCCGCCGCCGCCGCTCCTCACTTCCACTGAGTTAGTTATACGTACATAATACATATGTATACATATATCTCAATGTAAACAAAAAATTTGCTAAAGTATTTATTTTGTAAATAGAAACGGTTCTTAATAAAATTATAATAGTAGGAAATGCAAAAAAAAATTTGGTGAAAAGTGTGATAATCAAAAAGTTTTGATATTTTTATTTTTGGTCTATAGATATATATATAATATTATATGCTTAAGACTTTTAATATTTTTTTGTGTTAAAATAAAAATATACGTATATATAAGACTTTCGACTAAGACTGGTTCGACTTAGTTGGTCACACTACAGATATTCTCTTTTGTATGTATGTACATATATATATTAATTTTTATTATATTAATACAAACTTTTATTTACTTAAAAATATATATTAAACACATTAAAATTACATATTAGCCTTGATCACATTTTTGTAGTCTAACAATTTGCGATATATTTGTTAAGATAACATTATATTTAAGATAAAAACCCGTTAAAAGATGGGTGAAGGACGACCTCACTTTGGACCTTATACTATTAAAAACGCGTGTTAGATCAAAGTAATGTTTGAAACTATAATACATTTGTTCCCAACCAGTGTATACTACGTGCTGAGTGAGTCCAACGGGCAGTTCTTCTTCCACGACGGAGACCGCCGCATCCCCATCACTCCTATGCCCGATACTCCTAATGATGCAGGTAATGGATTGTCAGTGGTAGCCCAGTGGTAACGCGCTCGCTCAGGAAACTGAGTGATGCAGATTCAAATCCCGGGTCTCGCACCTCTGATATTTTCATGTGCGAATCATTTCCAACGCCATTCCCATTTGTCTTATGGTGACCGAAAACATTGTGAATGAAGAACCTAGAAAGTTTCGAAAGACATGTGATATCCGCCAACCCTCACTTAACCAGCGTGGTGAGAACGATTAAGTTCAGTACATACTTTTTAAGATTTACTCCAATATTTGAAATTTTAAATTTGACTCTCTTGATCATGATTGCTGTAAAGCATTCGGCAGGCGGGTACCAAAAATCAAAATAAATCCGCGAAAAAATCTGAAAAGATAGTTTTATTTATAGTGTAAATTTATGTACATTAAAATTGCAAAAATATTTAACTGTATTTACAACAAAAAAAATTACACTTAAATATTACTGTACAAGTAATGTCCGCGTGGTATATTGACAACAATACTAATCGCGTAATATGTTACTTTTGCTATTTAACAGAAGATCAAAAGACCGACGACGATGAAGACATTAAGGATATAAAGATAGTGAAAGTTGAAGGCTCCGAGCCCAACACTGAACCGAAGGAGCTGAGGCAAGGTGTCGAAAACAACACAAAGACAGATCATCCAGACATTGCTAGTAAGTATCCTTATACATATTAAAAATTTCTGCGATGGTCTGCACTCCTGAAGGTCCCGGGTTCGAGTTCTGGGTCGGGTCAAGTACACTTACTTATTGAGTTTTTCTGTTAAGAAATTCTCAGTAATAGCTTGTAGTTGGGAAGTTAGCGGTGTTTCAATCACGTGTTGAGGTGGCGTCATGCCATTGAATTTGAGAGTAACAGGAACAGAGAGTGCACGTTGTGTCCGCGCTCTATCTCACACGCGCTGCTCTATGTCTCCAGCGCAGTTAGCTAGTCCCACTAAGTTTGGCCACCGTGGCCACAATCAATCAGGAAAATTTTATTTATATTATTAGTATTAGTAAAGTACAGGCAACAACATAACATGTACACATATTGTATGGTGTCTCTTTCCCTCAGGTTTCCTTCCATCAGAATCGATGTCCCTTTCGCCGTCGCGGCTGTTGCGCGACGCGGAGGGCTGGCTCGAGGGCTCCGTGCAGGACTTCTCCCTGAGCAGCTTCCTAGGACACCTAGAAGGACGGCCGCAGCCCGAGCTGGTGGTCAGTTTATCTTTTTAATATATAAGAGTCAAATAGAGAGAGAGAGGAAGAGAGTGAGACTCCAAATTATGTATATAAAAAGTAATAGGTAAAGATAGAGCAGTAAAGTAGTTACGAAATTGAATTTTGGATTCCTCATAGGAAGTAGGTAACAAAATATTTATGGATATTATTTTTCCTGGAAGTGTAAAAAAGGAGTTTGAAAGTCGTGAATTCCCTTTTTCTACTAATTCAGTGTTATCAGTAATTATTATTGTTATAAAAGTTGCTATATATAAAAATTTAAATAATCCCTTTAAACACAGATGGACTCTCAACTGCACTCTCTCATGGCGGAATCGAGCGTGGACTATGTCGCCAAGTTCGCTGACCTCGCTGCTGAGGTTACGGACGACCCCGACCTTACTGATGACCTCACATGAACACAATTACCTCGAGTCTTTTTTTATATTATATCATATTTTATTAACTGGCAACTCTCAACTGCAGGTCGATTAACTAAAGCTGGAAAATTTACAGTACTTACATCAATGCTATGTAGTAAAAATAAAATATTAACAATCCTATTATCCCTATCCCGCTCATACGCTAGACCGGGTGCAAGAGAGAGAAAGAGAAAAGTGAGTAGTGAGAGAAAGAGTGTGCTTATTCTCTACGTGCTATTTTAAGTTAATCAGATTGTAGGCCCCAGTCCCAACACACCTTTAGGAATGTTTTGCATCTTAATATTGATATCTCACCGTATGTAAATTACTACAATTTTAAATTTGAATGTAAAATATATTTCAGTAAATAATGTGTATTTTTACAATGTTATAGTTATAATGTTGCTTTTACAAATTCTTTTTTGAAGTTATACTTCTTTTGGCAAGTTTGGAAAAAATTGTGAGAGAATTTAAACGATACGAAAAGCTGTGAAAACCAATTAGTGTACGGTAAGGATACAATTGACATGTAATAAATAATATTATATTAATTTTGAACTGTTTGTCTATAACATGTGTATATTATTATCATGAATAAAGTTACTATATTATTTTGGTAACTAAAATTGTTTTATATCAATAGGAAATTAAAGCAATTATGATTCTCTTTTGTTTTGTTATTTAAAATATATTGTAACCTTCATATTTTGTAACATAAATTTATTTTAATTTAATTATTATTTATTACTCATATTAAAATGAGCATTTAAAAAAATATCTTGTGTAAAGGAAATATTAGAAAGTAATTAAAAGGAAGTGGTAGCCAGTGGTAACGCGCTCGCTTGGGAAACCGCGTGAAGCGGGTTCAAATCCCAGGTCTCACACCTCTGATATTTTCATGTGCGAATCATTTCTAACATGATTACCACTTGCCTTACGGTGATTGAATTTCGAATAATGATAAAATACGTATTTATTTAATTGTATTGAAGAGCATTAATACAAGTTTCTAGTAATTCTGATTATAAATATATAATTATTTGTCCATATAAACTTTATTAACCCCTATTTACCCCTTTAAGGGATGAATTTTGAAAAAAATAAAATATATTTCTTATTTGATATCTTTAAGGCTAAACACCATTTTTGGTACTTCACATTAAGAATGACAGAGTTTCATATGATCTTTAATCCCCTATTTTACCCACTTAGGGGATGAATTTCGAAAAATCCTTTCTTAACGGATGCCTACATCATCTATGGAATATGTTCTCCAAATTTCACGTTTCTACAGCAAGCGGCTTAGGCTGTGTTGATCCATCAGTCAGGACTCGGGACCACCGAATGGATGCACCTCTTCTCAATTCTTCCTTCAGCTGGTCTAACTTCTAGGTATATCTCGCGTCATTTAAAAAGAACGCTGCCTGTCAAGCTGCGCAGAAGCGATTTATCGGTCAAATTGGTGGTAAGAAGTGGGGCGCGGGACTGCGGGACGCGCGCCGCATGTTTGCCGGCACTCGTAGTCAAAGAGTATAGTTATAAACTGCTCGTAGTCGTCAGTTCGAAATACCATCGCGCACACAAAAGTTTTTAATTACGAAATGGTTTTTTATATAGAAAAGAGAGAAAAAATATTTTTGACGTATATTGTTTTATAAAGAGAGTCTCATAATAATTCAGTTAATAATTAAAAAATGTATTAAACGTATTAATTTATTTTTTTGTAACTAGATTAAACATTCTACACTGAATCAAACATATTTTAATAATGAATAGAATAATTGTATTTAATGATATTCTATGTAATATATTTTTCAATGTATATGTCGCGTCATGTACCTTAGTTTAATTTGTAGTAGTTTTTTTATATAAAGATTAAAACATTTTACACTGAAACAAACATGTTTTTAATTCTATTTAAAATAAAATATTTTTTTTATATAATATATTTTTCAATGTCCCTACCAATAACTAATATATGAAGCCGCGAGCGAAATGCTATGAAAAATAAAATAATAGGCTAAGTACTTTTGAGCGTGAGTATACCCTTTTTACAAGACGCGAGTTATACAATACCTACATTTCATAGGTAAGATGCGAACACAATAGAAGCAAAAACCAAGTATAAAACAGACATCATAATAAATTGATAGATAATACGTGTAGCGCCCTCCTTTCGAGAAATCTTCTCCATTTCACAGTTTTACAATTTACCAGCGAGATATACACAGCATGTTGAAATTATAGCAGATTTAAAAAAGTATTTTGATAGTTATGAGTTGTACGAGTATATGTAAATTTTTGTCAGTAAATAATATAAAAATATTATTATCATCGCTTTGCATCTTAAATTAATAAGTAATGTATGTGTATTGTTATTATGAAAAATACTGCTTTAGTAGTGATTTCCAATGGTTTTATGAGTAGGTATTATTTATAAATAAGTATGCCATAATGAAGAAGTGAATTTTATGTTGACTATATGGTAGTTTTTTAATAAGATTTTTTATATAGATAAACTCTATGGATAGTTTTTAATTTATCGATATAATTATAACTGAAATCTCTATAGACTTCAATGACAACGACGTTAAACCTTGTTTAATTGTTTGTTGACATTCGATATTGATCTGTTCACTTCACTCCTTATTATATTATATTGGTTAGGTATTTTATTTCTTAATTGTTTTATCAATTATCCTAGAAATTATCGATCTATCAGTTTATCCTTTGTTATATTATTAAAACTAGCTATATAGAAAAATACTGTTGCTGAGGGAAACCACAGTTTTGTATAAAAATTTAGACTGACTAAAATATTGTTTTAATTCTACAGAAGAATTAAGTGCGTTGACAAATTTGATGTGGTTTAATCTCATTTCTATTACATAAACGCGCTTGTATAAATATAAGTAAATTTAATATAGCAATGAGTTGGCAATATTTGTTTATTTTCTGACTTGTTATTGTGTGATCAGGTAAAAATTGGTATTATGAAGTTTAAGTTTAATATAAATATTTGTGTATATACCTATCAGATAGCTGGTAAATTTTACTTATATAATTAACTATACCTACTATCCTATTTCAATATTTTTGTAAAACTTCTTATTAGAAGACTTCATTAGAGATTTTTGAATTTTCCTAATTGTTATACCAATCTTAGGTATTCTTAATTTTGTTACTGTGGTACTTGAATAATAGTTGGTAAAGAAATATTACACATTTCTTGCATTATATATGTTTTGTTTTACATATTTTAACTGAATATGTATCTGCGATGAATACTTCTAATGATCTTAAATGTTATACAATACATTTTTTTTTATCAGTGGTAAATTATTGAAATTTTCTTTTCAGATAACACCAAAGAACTACTATCTACTTATATAAAAAAAATCATGTGTCACATTCATTTATTGAGATATTCAACGTGTTTGTCGTCAGACCGATGTAATATTTTGTAAAGTTTATAAACAATAAAGTTATAATTATTTTTAACTCTTTTATGTTTATGAGTTTTTATTTTAATATATTAAATTATTAAATGTGTAATATTAGATATTGAATATCAGTAAGAACCCAATACAATACATACAGATTAACAATTATGATACTAGAGACTCACCCATGCTTCGTTTCGGGTTTGTTCCTAGACAAACAAATCTATCCCATGGCAACTGTACATTTTTCTAGGAAAAAACTAACCTATGTGCTATTCCAGACAACTATTTCCTGCCATATTTCATCGAGATCCATTCAGCCATTCTGGTGTGAAAGAGTAACAAAATCCATCTATACATCCTCACAAACACTTTCATATTTATAATATCAATATGGATACTTAATAGTATGTATACATATTTATCGAAACATAAGGAATATTAGTAAATGTGACCAGTTGCATTTTTTTATTATGCTAAGGAACAGTGCCATGTCATAATTTTCTCTCTTAAAAGGGTTTTGTTAAGGATTAATAAAGAAATAAATATTTTTCATTTATCTACCAACTATTTATACATTTTACTTATATTTACAGAATGCTTAAATACCATAGCATCTAGACTGAAATAAAGGCATGCTCACTTTAAGAAATATTTTAAAAAAATCACCAGCTTAGAGTTAATGGGGATGAAAGTTAAAAACGTAAATTGATATTTAAAGGAGTCCATACACAATATGGTATTTGTAGGCTGCAGTTTGGCCTATACAGTTAGTCCTGAGCTCTAATCTGTAGAAAACTGGGTAACTACCACACAAATCTTGGTTAAGCTGCGCAGTTTAATTGTACAGGCAAACTATCTTATGTCCTTATCAGGATCTCAAATTATCTTCATAGCATATTTCATCTAAGTCGGTTCAGTAGTTCCAGAGATTACTTCCTATAGACAAACTCACAAACTTTACTTCTTTAAGTATAATAGATAGTATATTATATTAAACAAATATTAATTTTCTGCAAACACAAAACTAAATGATTATTGCAACGAATCATGTTTTAAAACTTTGGCTATAGAAATAGGTAGGTGACTAATTAAAAGTTTTTGCGAATTCGCGGAGTTAATGTGCAATCACGCCCGGTAGAGTTTACAACTATTTAGAGCACGGGAGTAGATGTTGTTTAAACTTAATTGCAGATTCGCTTAATTAAATGTAGGAAATTGCCTATTTACGTTTACTTGGATTCTTGTCGCATTTGTTTTGAACTCGTTTGTAATATAATAAATGTGAATTGTGAAACTAATCGTCACTATAATTATTTATAGATTTTACGTATCGAATTGTTATTCTAGCAAAAATAGATCATAAGAAATACCCGTAAGTAAAGTAAACTGAAATAATGCGTTCTTAAATCAAGTTTTGATTACTTCATAATTAGCTAGGTAATGAATTTGTAGTGTAGTACAATTGTACTGAATATTGCGTATTTATAGTTGGCGTTGTTTAATGTTTACATAAATTGTTTTTTGTAAACAATTTTACAAGACACATGT